TTCCTATAATAATAATCCATGAGAAAGATACTTTATAACAGGAATATGAAACAAATGTATTGCTTTCAACTAACAACTCTTAAATCAATTTATATATGTTGAATATCTACACTGAAAGGTATAAACTGTCAAAAAGCGAACATGTCGAGCTTTGTTTGTTTTATGAATTGATGCAGAAGAAGACAAGTATAGTCTTTGTTATATATGAATATTTCATTGGTAATGAAATGACATCATTACTGGAAGAGAGAAAGGACACCTATTGACATAAGAATAAAGAAAATATATCGAACAAATATATTTATTCGATATGTGATGCGTGCTCGATTCATCAATAAATAATTACGGATCGATTTTTTAATATTCTATTTGATTTATTTGTTTAAAAAAAAAGGATTTTATTATTTTCAAGAATAAAAATAATCAATAAAATATTTAATCAAAAAACTATTTTAATTTATTAGAATAAGAAAATCAGTTATTTTGTTCGTATGATGGATTTTATCTCAATAAAAGTAGAAATCTAGACATGGTTACAAATCATATTTTAAAATTAGATAAACAATTTAAATTCAAGATTGAAATTTTTCATTTGATCTGAACAGAAAAAAATCGAACTATATCCGATATCAATTTGATACATTAACTGGGTGTGAGTGTTGAAGAAAGAGACGCTCTCATACTACATATCCTCTGCTCAGCAATACATCATACTGCTTAGCACTAAGATGTCTAGTAACTTAATTAAAAAAATTAGGTTTTTTATTTTAGGATCAATGTGGTCATTGGCCTGAAGTCCACAAGAAGTTTCAGGCTGGCCCGAAGATTTCATGAGCCGATGTTCTAGTTTCCCACCATGAATAGCTCTACAAGAGAAGTAAGAAGAAATCCTTACTGACTTGTTCTAATGGTTTCCTCCCTATCCAAAATGGAAAAAAGTACACGATAGTATCACTTGCCACTGTATTTAAGTAATAAAAATGTTTGAACGACTTCTTTTACCTTGTATCTATTTTGGCCTGAGAAAACAATACCATTTGGGTTTTTGTTTCAAAAGACTCGTCGTCGGAAACTATGCGAAGTTTATGTGAGTGAATTTCCACTGCAAAATAGAAAAAGATCTTCCAAAAGTTTTTATTGTTCTAAATAGCATGGGAAGTTGTATGCATATATAGCTGTTTCATTTTGAATATTGGAGAAAACATAAAAATATGTTAGTAAAAGGTGAGTCCGGCATTTTTGTAAAGCTTTTCACGGTAGATCTTTTGAATAAAAATACCACAGACTGATTCACATTTAAACAAATGATTTAAAGATAGGTTTTCATTAATGCAGCTTTCTCAGTTTAATGAGAGAAGAGTTTTTTTTGAAATTGTAACCATTATCTATTCAAGTTTGATTTTATTTCATGAAAATTATCAAATAAATTTTTAATTAGAAATTGTACGTTTTTTTTTACTGAAAATAAACTACGTAATAACTAAATTCAGAAGAACATTATGTTACTTATTCAATTAAAATAAAGATATGGTACTGTTTTAAGTATAATTATGTACAAGCAAAACAAATGTCTATGATTCAATAGATGAATATAGCTTGAATCAATTGAATAATATCATGATGAATAAGTTATTTTCAGACGTATGAAACTACCCATAACCATAAATCATTCAGAAACATGTAAGAAAAAAAAAATTTGATGAGAGGATATCAGAAGTTACGTGACACCCTTTATGTTCGAAATTTTTTGTGAAACTCATAAGCTGGAAATTATGAGTGAATCTTTGAAGGATTCAAAAATAAAGCTTGAACAAAAGCAATTGCACTAATAGGTCTAGAAACAGTAAATTTGATTGTACTCCACTTGAAATTGGTTGATTGACTGCATCGCCTTTTGAAATTTTATCGATCACTACCTAGACAATATATGTCCTTCACAATAATAATGTCCTTATTGAATACCTTCTATTATCAATCAAGATGATTTTATAAGTCTGGAAATCAATGAATTTCGAAGATATCAATGTGTCGATTGCTAAAAATCTTATTATTGATAGAAATTTTCGTGATTGAATGAAGAAACATAACTTTCACATCATTCCTTAAAATAAATTCACAAAAAAAGTAATTAAAGATCTTACTTTCCTCGAATTATTAATTATCAATACATACAATTGAACTAATCAATCTTCTATGAGAACAAACAGTATTGTAATTAGCCAATGTATAAAATGTACTTAGGTCAGTCCAAAAGTAGTTGCGGAGGTATAATAATCCTTCAAAGGAGGGTTCGATAATTTTTTTTCTATACAGTCTGATAGAGAAAAGAAAGCTCTATTTTTCTATGCTATTTGATCATACTTTAACTAATATGATGATAATAAATTTTTTATAAGACTTTTTTCTTTAACATGTCTGCTCGTTGTACTAGCTCACAATGAATCAGACCGGTTAGTTTTTTTAGTCCACTAATACATTATATTAATAACCAAAATATGCCATAAGATGCAGCGTGAAAAGCTCTACAATTTCCATAAGACCACTTATTTTCTAGTTTCACTTTTTTTTCAAAATGGACAAAGTTTTGAGTGATCGAACTTTGGCCGTTGTAAAAACTGATCGTATAGAATTTTCCTTTTTTTTCAAAACAATTTCAATAAAATTTACTATGTAGATTGTAGAGCTTTTCACGCTGCATCTTATGGCATATTCTGATTGTTAATACAGCTAACAAGGAAATGAAAACTGCGATGTATAACTTACAACGAGCAGACATGTTAAAGAAAAAAGTCTTATGAAAAATTTATTATCATCATATTAGTTAAAGTATGATCAAATAGCATAGAAAAATAGAGCTTTCTTTTCTCTATCAGACTGTATAGAAAAAAAAATTATCGAACCCGCCTTTGAAGGATTATTATACCTCCGCAACTACTTTTGGACTGACCTAAGTAGTTGCATCATCGAAGGTTGAGCTACAGTTTAACATGAATAGACTATCTTCTATTATTGTTAAAGCTATGAAAAAGTTGATGAGTACGTTACGGTAGTACTTTGGTGATCACTCTTTATAGGAACTTCATCATCGTCAGGTCTGTTATCTTAGCTTCAAACATCAATAAAAGTATTTTGTTTCGAGTGAAAATGTGAGTTCTTTTGAGCAACTCTGACGAAAGGAGTCCTTTTAAATGATTGTGTTATCAATTCTTTCAAAAATCGTCGTAAACTGAAATGAAACTGTTATATACGATACTGCAGTGCAAGTTTCAGCTCCCTGTCACCTTTAGTTATCGAGTTATACAAAAATGTGTGAGTATGTTACCTGTAGATAGGCTAGTCAATCGTAATTTGTCCTTGAAAAATTGGATTTTCTCAGGAAGCAACCTTCTTAAGAAACTTGCCAACCGAACTTCGGAGAACATTTTTTGCTTTTAAAGATTTGATACTATTTTATTATTATTCATATGATTAATTATTGAAATAGCTTTAATTTTTGAATGGAAAGAATTATATATAAATCTTATTCTAATTAACGGATGTTGCAAAAGTTCTGCATTAATTTTCTTTTCAGTATAGCATGGCAACAAATCGTTATAGACTTGATCTTTTTTTTCGTTGAAAAGAGCTGAGTGTCTATTGCAAAAATATGTAAAAATGTTTATCAAGGACTAAAAAGTCTTAAAAAGAAGTTGAACCAAAAAAGTGCCTTTCAACTTAACTCAAAATTCGAGATGAGAGGTGCATTTGTTTAATTTATTTTGCATTCGAGTTTCGATTTTTGAAGACACGTCATATGTAAGTCTGGCCAATGTAACATGACCTTTCTAATTATATAAGAGCATTCGAGTTACAAAACCACACACTTCAAAGGAAACAGTTTTTATTAAAAAGTTGATTTTCTGTCTACAACGTTCAATGAAGGTTGTCTAACAAAGAAACTGAATGTGCTTTTATAGACAACTCAATAAGCTTTAATTGCATATAAAATAGGCAGTTTGTGCTAACTTCGATGTTGAAAGAAATCTTATTCATTGGCTTGTGAAAAATTTGCACTAACAAAAGATGTTAGAAAAATGTTAATTTCGAAGTCTACCGGTCACTTGAAAGTCTTATTTTTGTGTGTTTGCAACGCTCGATCATAGTGCTACAAAACCCGATAAAAGTCAGAAGAAAAGATCAACGTTCTTTTTAGATGAAATTTCTTCTGAATTCCACAAGTTGAAAAGCACTTTTCCAGTCCGACGTGTTCTTAAGGCTTTTTAGCTTTTGGTAAATACTTTGAATCAAACATTTTTTTTACATGGTTTTCTACTAGTCACTCAGCTCTTTCCAATGAGAAAAAGATCAAGTCTTTATAACGATTAGTTGCTATGCTATACTGAATAGAAAATTGATGAAGAACTTTTCACCATTCGTTACTTTTTATTTATCTTCATGTGATAAAATCTATCAGTTTTTAAATATCAGAAAACATCTCATCAATATTGACGTATTGTTTTGCGTTGAATATACATAATATAAAGAAAAAAAAAACATATATGAAAATGATAAATTGTCTCGTTATGATCAAGAATAATAAAATATTTTCCTCTTATCGTCTCAACGTCACAAATTGCAGAACCTATTCATAAAAAAAAAGAAAGAGCCGAAGGAACACAAAAAAAAATTAAACAAACAAACGAGACCATGCCGATATAAAAAGAAGAGAAATAAAAAGTTAGATTAACAGAACATATTTGTAAATTGGTGTGTATGACAGTTATTAATATAAAGAAAGCATTTTCTTGGCTTAGACAAATGAAACAGACAAATAAATGTAGATATGTATAAAAAAAATACGCAAGACTCCTGTATAAGATGTACTGACAAAAAGAATAATGTCTTTTCAAACAGATATTATAACAAAGAGAAAAAAGAAACACAATAATAATATCGACAAAAGAAAAAATAGACCTATACTAATTTCAATTTAATGTTTCTTTTTTGTTTTTTACTTTTATTTAAATATCATCATCAATATCTTCACTAGCCCATGGTGATGGTTGAAAATCTTCGATCATTTTCCATAAGACAGCTAGAAAAAATAAATATAAAAATTAATGTAAAATAAAATGTTTATTTTTATATGAACAATTGATAACTGTTAAATACATAGAAGTATAAACAGAGGAATGGTATTCACTAGATTTTAATGTATCCTTTTTTTTGTATTAAAAATAATTTAAATTCAAAATGATTTGTTTATTGAAAAAAAGGAAAACTAAAACAAAATTGTTCGAATGATTGGTATCGAATAGAATATTTAAATTCTATCAGAAGAAATAATATTCGATGTATATTTATTTATCCTTCATTTGTTGCTCAGATCATATCATTTAAAACGATATGTTGGCCTTTGAGTTGAAGGAAAAAATTATTGAAAGGGTGTGGGTGTGGGTGAGGGTGTGGGTGTGGGTGGGTGGTGGGTGTGAGTGTGGGGTGTGGGTGTGGGTGTGCTAAAGATTAGATATGCATCCACATCCACATCCACATCCACACACCCACACCCCACACCCACACCCACATCCACACACCCACACCCACCCACACCCATAAGATTATTCTGTTTTTTCTTTCAGGTTCCTAAAATGGCATTATTAACGACGACAAGGTAGATAATAGTCTAGACTTGGGTAATCTACATATGAGCAGCTTCAGCATCGTCAAGATGAGTTCATCATACAATATTCAAATCAATCTGACCAGTTTGATCTATTGATAATTATCGTAAGACATATATGTGACGAACAAAATAAGTCACTCTATCAGCATCTTCAACAATGGTATTTATATTAGTAAATCATTGACACTTGATGGTTCTTATTGAGCTCTAGTCGAAACACATCGTGGTAGCTGATACACACACACTCACAAGTGTTTCAAAAATCAGCGAAAGCTAAATACTCGCAAATCTTTTATTTTTTCCAATAAAACTAACAACTACAAATCATGATAATAGTTACAAGCAAACAGTCCAAAATTAGCACTCTACGAACTAAGAAATGTTGTCGTCACATGCACATAGACGGCCATGCCCATAAGCACCCCAGGGACGATAACCAGTATGATAATAAAAATGATCACTAGGACTACCCGAATAAACACGGCCACCACCATCACCACCGCCTTCACGACCATAAAAATCACCACTACGATCGGGAACATTAACACGACGACGACCATCAATACAACAAGTAGCATCATCACGCTTTGTATATTTCTTGCGATATTTACCATCAGGACGCCAAAACTAATCACGGCATTCACCACATTTAGCACAAGCACGTCCCTTACATTCAAGTTGTAAGTTAGAATATGGTGATTTGTACTTTGGTACCGTAAATTTTGGCTCTTCTAAACAAAGAATTTCAGGCTATTTTGGGTGTAAGTACGTGAGTAGGTGTAAGTGTGGATAAGGGATAGATATTCTACCATTATTCACCTACATCCATATCCTCACCCGTAAAAATAAAATATAGATGCATACTTCTTCATCGCATATATAAGATGACTTACTTATTCGTACAACTGATTGGAGTCGTTGTTCTTGTTTGTGCTGAATTTACACAGTATGTTCAAAGAAAATAATGGATGTTTTCTTGAAGAGACTCACTTTTTCAAGTAATGCATATTCTTGTGCTGCGTTTCTGTCTTCCTCTTCCTGTTGTCGTTGCGCTATTTTCCTGTCTTGCTCTTCCTGCTGTCGTTGGGCTTCTTTTCTTTTGCTCTCATTAAGATCGTATCTGGTGCTCGTGGAATATTGTTCACTCTTGTTTTGTAGCGCCCAACCTATTATTTAAACAACAACTGAAGTAAGTTAGTCCAAACACGTTTCTTTTCAGTTATTATCCCAAATTTTCCCTAGACCCAATCAGTTCTTCGTTGGTTGCTTCCTAATTCGTCCTTCGCCAATGAAAGAGTGAACATAGTGTTCCTAGTTCAAACTCATATCTTTGAGTTCATTCATTTGGTTAAAGACCAGCATACTTCGCAATAATATGACGCAAAACAGAGTGAGACTACACATATAAGAGAAAAAAACTGAGCAATAACATGACATGAATTCTGAACATTTGCGAAAAGTAATTCGTTATGAGGAACTACTGAAACGACTTGACAACTGAATATGGTTGTGCTAACGATTCTATTTACATCAAACTATGGTTCTTTTGTGAAACACGATCTGAAAGGAGTGTTGAAGTGTATAGGGTAGAAATTTTGGACCCACTCCCCCCCCCCCCACAGACCGTGACAGAGAAAATTCATACCCATCACAGACCGTGACAGAGAACCCCCTCCCCCCTAAGACCATCACAGACCGTGACAGAGGGACTCCAGAGACCATCACAGGCCGTGACAGAGGGGCTCCAGAGACCATCACAGACCGTGACAGAGGGACTCCAGAGACCATTACAGACCGTGACAGAGAACTCCCAAAGACCATCGCAGACCGTGACAGAGAACTCCCAAAGACCATCACTGACCGTGACAGAGAGTCCCCAAAGACTATCATAGATCGTGGCGCAGGGACTACAGAGACCATCACAGACCGTGACAGAGAAACCCCAGAGACCATCACAGACCGTGACAGAGAAACCCCAGAGACCATTACAGACCGTGGCAGAGAACCCTCAGAGACCGTCACAGACCGTGATAGAAAATTAATAATCATTACAGACTGTGACAGAGAAGCTCCAAACCCATCGCAGACCGCGACAGAGAGACTCCAGAGGCCATTACAGGCCGTGACAGAGAACCTCCAGACACCATCACAGACCGTGACAGAGAATATCTAAACCCTTCACAGACTGTTACACAGAAACTGTAGTTTTGGAAGATTAAAACAAACGATAAGCTAGAAATCTATCATAAAGAAACGGAAGAAAACGAAGTCCATTTAATTAGTAACAGTAGGTCTATCGTGTTTCACAGTTTTAATCCCGCAAGGGATTGCGCTAACAGCTTTTTTTTATTTTTTCAGAATTTTCTGTATTTAGATTCTAGAAAATCGTATCTCCATATGGTTTCATTATGGGTGTTGTCAAACATATCATTTGTATCTATGCTTATATTGAATGGTATCGATCCTTGCTCGACTTATTCAGATTCTACTATCAAAAGATAATTTAGAACTGCGAACGAATTATGGAACAATTATCACGGGACAAACCATTTAGAAACATAGTTTAGGATAAACATAAACAATAACCTGAACGATAATATTGTGCGGTTAGAAAATGTTTCAATTCATTGAATGTTGGCCGATCACTTGGTGATCTGGACCAGGTTTTTATAATGATCGACCAAAACGGTTGACTACAATCGGATGGTTGAGGTAGTAAATTGCCATTTCTGACTCGTTGAATGACCTCATCATCGCGCTCGATATTCATCCATGGCAATGAACCTCGAGAATATGCTTCCCACATTAACACACCCATTGAATAAACATCTGATTTTTCTGTGTATGCTTCCGATGTTGCATTCGATGAAAGTACTTCTGGTGCTGCA